GAATGGGATTTCCCTTTCCAAATGCCTCTAGGATGGTTTGGAATGGGATTTCCCACCCTGGGATGGATTGGGAATGGGATTTCCCTTTCCAGCTGCCCCTGGGATGGGTTAGGAATGGGAATTCCCTTTCCAGCTGCCTCTGGGCTGGATTGAGACTGGGAATTCCCTTTCCAGCTGCCCCCGGGATGGGTTAGGAATGGGATTTCCCTTTCCAGCTGCCCCTGGGATGGGTTAGGAATGGGAATTCCCTTTCCAGCTGCCCCTGGGATGGGTTAGGAATGGGAATTCCCTTTCCAGCTGCCCCTGGGATGGGTTAGGAATGGGAATTCCCACCCTGGGATGGGTTAGGAATGGGAATTCCCTTTCCAGCTGCCCCCGGGATGAGCTGCTGTTACCTTGGTGCTCCGTGCCATCGACTGGCGAGCAGCTTTCCCATCCCCATGGGCTTCAGGCTGGCAATCCCTAATTTCAGCCGTCTCCGGCCGCTAACCCCTCCTCTCCCTCCGGAATCCTCGTGTCCCCGCAGGTTACCCCTCCCCTCTGGGGGGCTCCGAGCACGCCTCCAGCCCGGTGCCGTCCAACGGCCCCTCCGGCGGCTCGGCCGGCGGCTCCGGCGCGGCGCTGGACGGCTCCGGCTCCGACTCGCCGGCGCTGGGCCGCGGCCCGTCGCCCTTCAACGCCGCGCAGCTGCACCAGCTCCGTGCCCAAATCATGGCCTACAAGCTGCTGGCGCGGGGGCAGCCGCTGCCCGAGCACCTCCAGGTGGCCGTGCAGGGCAAGCGGCCGCTGCCGGGGATGCAGCCGCAGATCCCCGCTCTACCTCCGCCCGCCGGCGCCGCGCAGGGCCCGGGGCCAGCGCCCGGAGCGGGGCCGGCGCCGCCCGGCTACTCCAGACCTCACGGTGAGGATGGGCTGGGAACGGCGGGAGCGAGCTGGGGATGTGTCCTGGGGGTCTGAGGGGACAGCGTCCTTGTTGTGTCCTGGGATCTGGGGGGATTTTGTCCTTGTTGTGTCCTGGGATCCGAGGGGAGATGGTCCTTGTTGTGTCCTGGGATTCGAGGGGAGATCGTCCCTTTGCATCCTGGGATCTGTGGGGAGATTGTCCTTGTAGTGTCCTGGGATCCGAGGGGAGATCGTCCCTTTTCGTCCTGGGATCCGAGGGGAGATCGTCCTTGTTGTGTCCTGGGATCTGTGGGGAGATTGTCCTTGTTGTGTCCTGGGATCCGAGGGGATTTTGTCCTCGTTGTGTCCTGGGATCCGAGGGGAGTTTGTCCTGTTCCTTTCTGGGATCTGAGGGGAGATCGTCCTTGTTGTGTCCTGGCATCCGAGGGGATAGTGTCCTTGTGTCCTGGATCCAGGGGATAGGGTCCTTGTGTCCTGGGATCTGTGGGGAGATGGTCCCTTTTCATCCTGGGATCTGTGGGGAGATCGTCCCTTTTCATCCTGGGATCTGTGGGGAGATCGTCCTTGTTGTGTCCTGGGATCCGAGGGGATAGTGTCCTTGTGTCCTGGGATCCGAGGGGAGATCGTCCTTGTTGT